GCATTACAGGTTTGCGAGTTTCTCCTCTGCCTCTACGAAATTCCATATTTGTAGTCGGATTGAGAAATTGAGAGGAGAAAGCGATTCAGGAGTGGTAGAACTGGCAGAACTGGACGGACCTTTTGTGAAGATTAGTCTGAGAGGCCGATTTTGGCACAAACGCTCCACTGTTGTGGCTCGTGTGGGCAACTATCTGAAGAACAGAATACCTGTAAGTCTCTCCCCTCACTCTCGTATGCTTTGAAAATTTTTGGTTCTTGTATTTTTTTAAAAGTCAAGTGAAGCGTCCTAAAATTATGATTGAACAAAAAAAAAAAAAAATGAAATACATTTGATCAAAACTCATATCTTTGACATACCTCCAAATAGTAAGGTGCATCTAAAGTATCTTTTTATTTTTTTTGCTAGTACTTTGGTGGCTTTATCATGTGTTAAAAGTGCCTTGCCATTTGCCAAGGGCATCCTAATATGATGAATCTCCCTCATCATTCATTTGATGTATGTGAATTTTTCCTTTTTCTATTCCTAGAATTGCCTAATTCATTATCTCAAATATGGCAATAATTTTTAAAAAAGTAATTAGAAGAATATGTGAGTTGATATAAACTTGAGATATATCTTGTGTTCAAAATTTGATTGGTTTTGGTTTGATAGGACGATAGTTTAAGTAGTTGTTGATGCAGGAAATTTTGGAGGTGGAAATAGAAGAGGAGAGCCAACTGGATGATAGCCCTGCAAGCTTTTAGTTAAAACCATTTCAAATGTAGAAAAATTAAGATAAAACATTCCAATGTTCTTTGTGAGCTGCGTAGAACCTTTCTCCTTGTTTGAAATTTGAATCTATATAATATAAAATTCCTATCATAGGATCAAGATAGTCAAAACTTATAAATTTGGGGTAAAATTCAACCCATTTTAGGTAAAAGGAGTCCACTATAAACAAATAAGATTACATATGGAATTTTTATGCTTGATTTTGGGGGAAAGCATATTATCTTTTGTTTTTTGAGTCTTCACCCAAAACTGAAGATAGAGAAAGAATTTGGACAAGTTACACTTGGTTTGATTGCTTAACACACAATCTATCATGGAATTAATACAAAGTTATATGCTTTATTATTGGGACATTAATGATTAAACATGTGCCTCACATGCCCACACCCACCACCACCATTCATTACTTCAAAGTCAAATTACTATGATGCAATTTTTCATTTTATTCCCTATAGTGTTTTTTTCCCACTTTTTTTAAAGTCATGAGAAATACATCCATCATCTTAAAAAGTAAAAGAAAATATTTATTTTATATTTGATTTAAATAAGAGAATTTTATGACTAACGAATCCCTTGTAGAAAGTATAGATTCTTATGAAAAGAAAAAAAAAAAGCTTCATATTTTGCCAGTAGTTTTATAATAGTCAAAAAGAAGAGAGAAAAAAAATCCACTATGACAAAATTTTCCTCATCTCCTTCAAAAATAATTACATTTCTCTTGTCGTAATTCAACGAGTACATAAAATACTATAAAATTAATTAGAGCTTCGATTCAATGATCCACACTATGTGTAAATTATATTCCAAAAAAACATTTCAAAAAAGAAGAAAAAGTTTCCTTTCTATTTCCATTTTTCTTTTTTCTGAACTTCCAACACGTATACATAAAATGACCAAAATACCCACACAAAAAAAGGAAAAGAAAAAGAAGGATAGTTCCCAGTGTTGGAAGTTGCTGCCCTATGCAAAGATCACATGCTTTGCTGATAAATATATATAAAAATATTATATACCCATGTAACGACAAAACACCCCCACAAAGACTTTGACCAAGCTTCCATTCATTACGTGGCGATCTCTGATTCGGCCACGTAACTTCTCCTGTCAACATCTTCCCACACCAACTGTGACGTTATCTCGTCGTACTCCGGTACGTATTCCTGTCGTAATTACCACAAAAAAACACACTTAAATTAAATTAAATTAATCCCCAACCACAAATTCCCCATTCTCTAGGGGCCACTTTCTAATTATTAAATTATTCAGTCCCACCCAATGTAATTACACCATAACCAAAGCCTCAAAAACCAAATTAAAACCCTCTCCGTAGAAATTGGAAACTGTAGCCGTAGGGGTACCCCAAACACTTAAAAATATATATAAATAATTTAAAAAGTAATTAATTAGAACAGAAAATATAAATAACAAAATAATAATTAATACCTCAAGTTGTCTGACTAAAAGCTTGGCAGTTGGGGCAGACACGATAATACGACGTGCAGTTGGCGAGACAAAGCCTTCATCAACTGCCTTATCGATGAAACACAGCAGAGAATTGTAATATCCATCCACATTTAACAGTCCCACCTGCAATTTATTTAATCATTACTTTAATTAATTAATTATGTTCTTAATCACTGTTTACACAAATCATATTTCTTTGTTTGACCACCAATTTAATTTCCCTATTTCATAATTGTGTTATGATTATTGGGGGACTTTGGAAATCTTTCCCATGTGAGTTGGAATTGAGAATCACATGTTTTGATTCTAAAAATCCCAAGGGTTAGTAGTTTGGTTGGCCCTTTATCCATATATCGAACTTCTTGACCAAACCCAACCCGGTCGAGACTGCGTCGGTCGGCTGGGATTTATGATCCATTTTAACAAAAAGGGTGTTGAGAAAAATTGGATGTTCTCTCCAAAAGACATGGGAAATCATAGGGCTAATAATCATGGAATTATAAAATGGAGGCCCAAGCAAGAAGAACATGGATTATCATGTGAAAGGGCTAATGATGATTTCAAAAGTTTTCAACACAGACAATGGGGAGTTTTATATCATTATTATGGCTTGAACACGACATGTCGTCTATGGCTGAGACCAAATGTTTCGATTGTCTGCCATTTGAGTGAAAAGTTGTTGAATTTTAATGTGGCTAAGGCAAAGTATGTTCACTTTTTGTTCACACAAAAATGGATAAATTTGAAAAGGAAACTGCAAAGTGAGGATCTTTTTGGTACTCACTGGCTTTCGATGGATTCCGAGTTGTGCCCATGTAATCACTTCGAGAAGCTCTTCGAGCGTGCCGTATCCTCCTGTAATTTGGATTTGTATGCACAAAAAAGTCGTTAAATTTACTGAATTCAGATCGAAAGAACTCAAAGAACGTCGACATATAATGTCCATTGATCAATGAGTACCGGGTAGAGCGATGAAAGCATCCGCTTGTCGTGCCATCTCGGCCTTTCTTTGGTGCATATCCGACACCGGTTTCACTTCTCCTACCGTCTCTCCAGTTATCTAAACGCATATCAAAATATTTAGACACCTAATGGGAAATTGAATGTAATAATTCTGAAAGTTTGATTAAAGTACCTCCACAGGCATTAGGGTTCTTGGAATTACTCTGCAAAACAATCCAAGTCACAAAGATTAGCGACCGTATTTAAGACAAATGTTTGATAAATTTCCTAGAAATGTTTAACAGATGGAGTAGATATTTAGCTCAAAAGCCATAATTATCTTAAGTTCTCAACAAATTAAACAATAATGAAATTAAAAAAAAAAAGGTCGACTTCCATGTTCCACAAAAAAACAAAACAAAAAAAAAGGAATGAATTTCCACAGCAAAAAAACATGAGCTTTTTTGTCCCCAACAAATGGAGTGGACAACATAAAATCCACAAGACACACCTCGTGATTAATTCAAAAACCCAACATTCGAACCCCAAATGTTTGCCTTTTCGAGTGGATTCGTGAAAAGCTCCATCTCTTTCCAGACAAGAACTTGGCTGTAAATTAATTGTATGAAAGAGAGAGATTAATGACACTTGCCTCGTTTTAATCATTTTTTAAAAATATACATAGAGACGTGATACCTTAATTAGTTAAGCTAAACTTTTAAAAAAATCTAAAACCCAAGTTGAAAGTAGGATACTTTTGGACAAAAGATGAAACAACATATGTTATAAACAAACGCAAAGCAAATTAAGTTTGTTTGAGACGCAAAGTATACGAAAAAAACAGACCAAAAAGGATCAATATACCCAAAAAGAAGAAACTAAAGTTGCATCAAAATGATGTCTTGTCTTTAGGACATGAAATAATCAAGAAATTTAGAGAGAGAGAGAGAAACAAACCCTAGAACATGGCGCCCGCCATCATGAACAGCCTGAGAAACAAGACCCATCAATCCCACGCTCCCACCTCCATAAACAAGATCAATTCTTCTCTCCACCTTCCAAAAAAAAAACATCGTAAATCCAAAAACACATTAACACGTGTCGCACTGTCAAATCATTAAACCCCCAAACAAACAAATTCCATCAGAAAAATCGAAAGGTTTTTCATTTCCAATAATATAATCATGGGAATTGGGAAATGAAATGAAGGAATTATAAGGAAAAATGAGCATAGAAGAGAGTGAAGAAAACAAACTGTCATCATATCAAAGCCAGCACGTTTTTGGGTTTAATCTCCCCAAGTTGAAATATTAATGCAACTCCTAAATTTATTAATTCCATTTCCCCATTTAAAAAAAATTAAAACTTTAAAACTTCTTCTTCAGATCATGCAATAAGGCTGCTCAACTGACAGGCAGGTTACAGCTAGAACCTCACTGTCCCCTCTCTCTCATAAACATAAACCATATTCTCCAACTCCCCGAGCGAGCTTAAGCCGCCGATGGATTACGGTAAATTTGATTCGAAAAAACATTTCAAAAAGACTTTGATTAAAGAAACACAATGGAATCTCTTTTGTCAAAATGGCTAAAGTTGGTTCTCAAGGTCAATACACGATCTACTTAATTATGCAACAAAATCCAAAATTGGAACTTTCTTTATCAAAAAGATGGAATTTTTACGAGTGGGTTTTGAAGAAAATGCGAAACCCATAAAGAATTTATAAAAATAAATGAACATGCAAGAAAAATCCAGAGGCTTTGGATCTTAAAACCCAGAATTTTAGAGAGAGAAAGTACCAGTTCTTGGCCAAGTTCAACAGCAGCAGATTGATAGCTAGCTTTCTTCCCAGAACTGCTTCCACAAAAAACACAGATCCTCTTGAATCTGGACTTTGTCTCTTCCATTTTTTTCTCTCTCTAACAGTTTTTTGTGTTCTCTCTCTCTCTCTCTCTCTAGAACTTTGTTTAAGAATTTTAAAGAGTGATCTCCTTGAAGAAGGGAGGTTTGAGAATGAAAACAAAGTGAAGGATTTGTTTATATAAACACGAAACAGAACCTCTCTCTCCTCAAACCCACGTTCACTTGGGCGTGTAGAGAGAAAATAAAAGCACTATTAAAATTTTATTTTATTTATTTTATTAGAAAAAAGGAGAAATAAACGGCTTTTGTTTTTTTTTCTGAGTGGGCTTAAAATGGTTTATTTTCTTTTCTTTTTAAGAAAGAGGAAAATTTGGAGAAAAACTCTTTTTTTTTTCTTTTAATTATAATTTTTCATTTGGGCTTTTGATTACGAATGTGTCTACGTAATCTACTACGCGGGTGGACCCATAAATCTTGGTGAATTGAGATTTGACGCGTGGATTGGGGTCACTTTTATATTGATTACTAATTAAGATTTTGTTTTAAATTTCATTTATTTATAAACAACTTTCTACATTTTCATTTATTAATTAGAAATAAGTGTCCATTGTTACCGAGTTTAAAGTTATTGGCTTTTATTTTATTACTATCTAGTATCTTTTAAAATAGAAATAATTTTTAAAGATTTTTTTTGTGTGCTAGAAAAAAAGATTTTTTGTTTATAAAAATTGGTTAAGACTTCAACAATATTTTTTTATAAATATAAAATAAATAAAAATACTGTTGGCATACGTGTTCAATTTTTAAAAATTAATTAAATTAAACATTATTATTCGAATAGTATCCAATATATATCCTTTAGTATCTAATATATGTATTCTGTGCAAACCTGTCAGATTTTTAAAGGAAAAAAAATATATATATATTTTCCTTTTTTTTTAATAGAAAATTTCAAAATTTTAATTACATTTTAAATCATCAAATTAATCAATAATTAAAAAACTCCAACATCTCTCTATAGAAAAATCAGATTAACTCAGATTATATATATATATATATATATATATATATATATATATATATTGGAATAATAGTTAATCAAATTTTTTTTAGTACAGTAAGTGAGGTGGAGAGATTGGAACTTATAATCTCTTAGTCAAAGACAGATGTAAATTTACAGCTAAGTTAAGCTCAAGTTGAAATTTTTTAATCAAATATTGCTCAATCTAGCTACTTGAACTTTTGGTGATTTAATAATATAATTGAGATTAGACAGTAACAATATATTTCATGGTTTTTTCCAAAATAAAAAAACAAAATAATAATAATAATATATCACTCAACTAATTGATATTTTCATTCTTAATGATTTTATAATGAAAAACTTTTTTAGTACAACAAAAAATTTAAATTAATTAAACTTTACCAATTATAATGTTTGTTCATCAAAAGGGTTGACATCTCTAGTTTGAAGATATAGGCTATCTCTCTCGTGGCCAATATTAAATATTTGTCTAAACAAGACTTTGTTGTTAACATAAATAGATAAATTAATTACTTTATCATAATTAAATATATATGTCGTTAACCATAGGTTTTATTTGACCGTTCCGTGTTGCCAACGTGTGAACAAAGTTGCTTTCCACAGCTCCCTCCCATGAAAAATACCCCACAAATTTTTTTTTATTAAAAAAAAGTTGTTTTTTGCACTTTTTATAATTATAAAAAAGAACAAACCAGTTCATGCTTCCAAAATCTCCATCAATCTCTCCTAATTAAGTCTTATTTTTTGTCAACCAATGAAATTTTGATTTTGATAATTTATTTTACTGGTTTAATTGAGTTTTATATGATTATACTTTTTTGGTATCTTTGAATATGGAGATTATAAAATAGATTTAAAGTTTGATTTCATGTGTATAATGTCATTTTTTTTAGAATTCCATATTTTGATAGGGAAATAAGAGCAATAATGTGATTTCGGTGAGTTTTTCATATAGTGACTAATTTGCTGTGTTATATATGAAAATATATGCTCTTATATTAATATTATACAATATATATTCATGTGTCATTGGTAATTGATGCATATTTCTTTTTTAATTGGTGTAGTGTTTGGTGTGATGAATACAAATAGATATTGATTATTATTCTCATGGGTTGGTGTAGAATTGAAGTGGATGTTTGTCTAATAAGACTTGGTTGGAAAGTCTAAGTATTCAATAAATTAAGATATTATGGCAGGACGATTCTATAAAATTTCTCTTGAAACGTTAGATAAAATCAGTGATAAAGTATGTTAATTTGGAGAGAAATAATTCGATGGATTATACTCCAATAAATTAGACATTGATTACTATTTTCAGATTGTTTCTTCTCTCAAGCTTTTAGTCCAAAGTTCAGCTTCGACTTAGGTGAGTTTGGGTGCTTCACAATCTTGATAGTAAATTTTTGTAGCATAAAGTTTGAAACCTTAGAATTGTCGTATTTGGATGGTATAGGAAAATTTAGTTATAGAAACTTGATTAATGTAATTTGTGTTTGATATGTGAGTTTATAATATTTGTAAAAGAAAATTATAAATTTATAAACTAGCAAGTAGGATTTCAATATCTAATTTAATACAATTTTTGTTAGATTAACAAATCCAGAGTCTAGAACAAATAAACTCACCCACCAAATGTAAACTCAAGTTTGCACAACTTCACTATATATATATATAAACCAACTTGTGATCAAATAGAAAATACAGTGTAAGACTATAATTATAAAATTTAGAAACTTATTTAATCTTCATTTTCAATATATATAATTATATTTTTTTCCTTTTTTTTTTCTTAGTGAAATTTATAAATTTAACCTATTGAAATGTGTGAATTTTTTAATAATTATTTTGGTTTGGGGTTAGTAAGTCAGAGGAAATCGCCATCATTATACTTTGTGCTTGAATTCCGCTGTTTGATTGATTGATGTGTTCTAAATAAACTCTTAACAAAAAGAAATTCAAAAATTGAAAAAAAGAAATTGCTTCACCATACCTTTGCGTGTATCAAGGGCTGTGATTTCTCCGACACTTTCTGAGGAGATGAGAATTAAGATAAGATATGCGGCTGTTGAATTTGGTAAATCCAATCCCATCTCATTCCTCTTATAAATTTTATCGATCTGGTTCGGTTTTTCCATTTTGGATTTTTGTTTATAAATATAATAATTTTTTTTTCTCTGCGTACTCGCTTCATCACCCGCTAATCAAATCAAGTAGATCGATCAAGAAAGGACACACCATAGCTCACATCACTCTAACATTGTCGAGTTACTAAAGTGGCTATTCAGTATGGTAGGTAACAAAATAGCCATATGATTTTTCTTGCTACTAACTTCACCAGCTTAATATGATGATTTGTGTGAGTGTCGATTATAAACGCTACAGATGTGGGAGCGATCCAAGTCAAGGAAGGCTAAGAAGGTTAGAATGATAGCTACCGTAGAATTTAGAATCACACATAAGTAGTTCGTCTTCCAAAAAAAGAACGGTTGGACACAGTGAATTGTAATTGTGAAAAGGTAGGAAGATTTGGCTAGCAAATACCTCCTCTTTCTGTCTACTCTTCCCAAAGTAAGCGAATTGCATGTAGAGATCCGTAGGGGATTAAAATGGGAGAATTTCGAATTCCGATCCATACAATAACATCGTTTCGAATACATTCAATTTGAATTGGCATTTTCTCCATCATAATTAGCAATTAACATCTCCAACACTGTATACATAGTTTTACTTGAACAAGCAACTTCTATTAAACACATTAGTTGTCGAACCAGTTGGTTTCTTCGTCACTCTAGCTAAGCCAAGTAGTCAACCTCCTCGTCACTTCCAAGCTCCCATCTCTTCATCACTAGACCATTTCAGCTTAGTTAACAAGCTTTCACCAACACACACACAAAGTCAACTTGCTAATTTGGATAGTGTCGGGTTGTCAAAACTAAGCAACAAATTGTAAGCTCGAGAAGTCCAATATGTTACACACGTGTGGCCCTCCTGGTTGTGACAAAGTCACATAATTAATTAATCATTTGTTGTCTTTCAATTAGGTAATAATCCAATATGTCTACAAATTGTTAACCATTTAAATAACAAGTCATCAACTCAAACCAACCATCTTTAATTTACTTTTACTTTTATTTGTTTTATTTAATAAAAACTAACAAAATATTTATAAATCATACCTTCATATCGGTTAGTACATGTGTTTACATGTTTCAACTATGTTTAAAGTTAGCGGTAATTAAAGTCTAATGAAGTAAAATAATTATTCGATTGTTTAAACTATATGGCCGGCCATGTTAACATCAAAGAAATATTATTTCATAAAACTCAGATGATTAAATTTTCAACTTTTTGAAAATAATTCACATAACTGTTGGGTTTATGAGGGAATGCAAACAAAGGTTCACGTTGGTCAGGGAAGATCATGATTCATGATATAAAGATAAGTAATAATTATCTCCATTGGTATGAGGTCTTTTGGGTGAAACAAAAAACAAAACATTGTGAAGATACATAGATATCATTGTCCTTAACAATAATAACCATGAGTGAAATAGAAGTAACACAAGTTCGGGAAACATTTTTAAAGTAGAATACTATGATTTATTAGATTAGTAAACTACAAGAATGAGATTGCGGGATTATATTTAATTTGACATGAAAGAAATAAATGGCATATCTAAGGAATGGGCCCATGTCAAATTTGTCTTCGTGCAAACTCTTTTTTTAGATCTCGTCTTCGTGCAAACTTGACCATATAAAATCAACACAATAACCATAGAAACAATGAATGTGGTGTAAAGACATGAAAAAAGTGGTCAATGTCAATTATCTCACGATGTGATATGTAATTGAGATTTGATCAATTAAGACATGTGATCTGTTCAAAAAAAGAGAATTTAACTTGAATAAGAGCTCGCTCTTGATTTACACAAAAGTAAACAAAAACACAACTATTTTAAAGAAGATCATATGTTTTTTTTTCTAATTTGAGAATAAAATTATCAAGAATGGAACTATTCTCTCACACCAATTGGAAATGGAGAATATGTTGATTATCTAACAACATGATATATGAT